TATATATATATATATATATATACTGTATATATATTTCTATTTAGACTTTTATGTCAGATTTTTCAGAAGTTTTTTAAGTTTTTCATCTAATATTTTTATTTTATATTTTATTTTTTATGTTAGCTTTATTTCAATTACCAAATATGCTTAATATATTTTAATACTTAATATATTAAAACTGGTAGATTTAGTTTCAGTTAACAATAACAACACTGGTATATGAGCTAATGATACAACACTCTAATAAGAATAAATTAAATATAAATTAAAAATACACAATACACAAATATTGAGTAAAATGGTCAATTTTAATTAGATTATTTATGTTTATTCGATTATTTATGCGAAATTTATGAGCACTTAAATTTTTTTAAATTTTATTTTTATTTAAAAACAAATTACCTACAAATTAATCTAACAGCTTGTCACAATGCATTATGGCAACAAAATCATGTTCTTAAAGAACAGCCTGCACAGGCTAGATTTTGGAGGAAAGCTGTGGTATATACTTAACATTTCTCTCAGCCATTATGCATATTTTAAATGTACACTTACCAACATCTGCATCATTGTGATTTTTGAGGATTTCTCCGAGTTCAAAATGGCCAGACATCACAGCGACCTGCCAAAAACAGCATTGCAATAGACTTTGCAACAATGCAATCTTTAATATGAGGACAATCTTTGCAATTCTAGGAAACATGCACTCACTAAAGTCATTGTTTTGCTAGCCTTATGTTTCGTACAGTGGTGAAACATGCCACATGAATGTACAACAATAAGTCATGTTGATTAAAACTATTACCACACAGATACCTGGAAGGGGGTTTGACCGTGTTTGTTCTTTATCTCCTTACTGGCTCCTCGGTACAGAAGGACTCGGGCGCAGCTCTCCTGATCGAGCAGAGGAGATTCTTAAATCAAGATCCATTTACCATGAAGCAAAACGACATAAGATAAGAAGTGTTGTTTTCTGGAGCTGAGTTCATGATGAAAAAAGAACAAATCTGCCAATGGGCTCAGAAAAATCGACTTAATTCACAGGGAAAGCAACTTTTCATTCCCCATTGACAGATATTTGCTCTTGTTTCACACATAAACTCACTTCATTTTGCTCCTTAAGTAAATGTATCTTGATTTAAGGATATTTGTATTGGAAAACAAGACCAAAATACTCAGGAAGATATTCATTGTTTGCAGTGTATGCAACATTTAATGCCACGACTTCATGAATTTAAGACTGATTTAAGAGCTTTCAAAGGCCTTAATTTGTGGAATGGTGAATTAAGACTTTTTAAGATGTGCAGAAACCCCGAATAAAGCTGAAAATAACTCAATTAAAATAAATATTAGAAAAAAATTTGAAAATTGAAAAAAAAAAAATTTTGATTTAAATTGTTTAAAATTAAAAATGAAAGATAATTAAATAATTAAAATATTTTTAAAACTATTATATAATGAATACTAACATAAGACTGGACTACACTTTGATAAATAAGGTAAAGCCACCAGTGTCACATCTGTATTTACTGTCAGATTACCTTGTTGTAAAGGGCACATATGTGGAGGGCAGTGTTTCCTGATGCATTCTGGGAAGTGGTGTCTGCCCCATAGAACAGAAGGTGTTCTAAGTGTTGGGCGAATCCGTGCTGACACACCTACAGTTGAGTGAACAAAACAGAGGTTAAAGAAACAAGACCATATCCACTTGTTGAGGAAAAGTCAGAAGAACAAGGAAAAATCAGAGGAACAATCAAAAGAGGGCAGTAAGTAGGTCAGAAAGTGCCATATCTTTCTGTCGGAGGTGATTAGTGAATCTTTCTGTTGACCCTAAAATTAAGATACATATTCTATACTTTTTTTCCCCAAATTGATTATATATATATATATATCAGTATTACCACAATCTGCTTTTAATTTAGATTTTGAATTAGTTTTTATTTTTATATTATCCACTTTCATTTTAATTTTAGCTAAAGTTTCATAGTTTCTCATATTTATTAGTCTTTGTTTTATTATACTGACCACTCGGCTCCAATAATATTTTAATATTATTGAGATATTATTTAATAAGTTTCTCATTTTTGTCTATGTAGTTATTAATTTTTATTGTTTTAGTTATTTTATTTTTAAGTTTTAGTAATTTTATTGGGGGTTTTTTTCTAATTTTTGTTAGGTTTTTTTTAAATCAACCACTCTGCCCCAGTATTATTTTAGTATCACTGCTATTATAGTTTTTATTAATATTTTTATTGGAATTAGTTTTATTTTTATATATATATATTTTTGTATTATATTGACATCTCTGCCTCAGCATTAAGCACCATTAACGTGTTGTTATAGTTTTTATTAATATTTTTATTTTTATATAATCAAATTTCATTAAAATGTTTTCAAATTTTTACTAAGTTTCTCATAAAAATTAAATTGGTTATTTATCTATGTAGTTTTTATTCCTTTTTATTTCAGTTTTTAAGTTAAACTAAAGGAAAATGAGAAATTTTGCCTTGGCAACTAGCTGAAATTTAGTTGTTGTTTTTTTTCCCCAGTTAACATTTATTTTAGGTAACAAAAACGTTACTTGATGGTTTTAGTTTTAGCTTTAACTACACTAACCCCACTCTGCTCTCTAGATATTCAGTACTGATCATTAAAAAGCCCATATCATGAGTTTGAACTTTGAATTTCATTTCTCCTCATTGTTCTGCTTATGGGCTGGAAGCACACAATTAAATCTCTGACTTAATTTAGGAGATATATATACATAATCATTGTGCTCTCAGGGTGTTGTGGGAGTCGTACCATGGTACTATTGTGTGTGGGGAACAGGCAGGTACTGTAGGTGGTTGGGGAAAATGAATATATTCATATATTTTTGTACACAAACGGCTTAGAAAGGATAGAGAAAAGAGTAGAGAATTAAAAAGAGAAACTTTTGTTTAAAACCAGGCAACAGACAGACAGCAGAAGATGATGAATGAAATGAGAGATGAGAGATGGGTACCTGTGAACTTCAACCTCTCCAAACGCCTCTTCATGTCTGATCTATGGAGAGAGAGAGAGACAGCGGAGGACTATGGACAGTGTCTGACTGATGATTCAGAAGCACCTAGATGCTGTTCTCCATTCGCTGAGGACATGTCTGTACTGTACTGTGATTGGCCTGCAGGATTCATGTGGTTTCAGACACAGTGGGTTTGCTGACAGAAGCACAGTGAGTCTCATGACGTCGGTGGTGTGGTGTAGTGGTTATATCTCAGAGCCGATGTGCTGGAAGTTCTCTAGCCATGCGCTATCACTGTTGTGCCTTAAAGCAAAGTAGGGCTGCCACTAACAACTATTTTTATTTCGATTAATCTATCGACTAATTTATCGATTAATCGGTTAATCTACACGATTAATTTCCCGCAAAAAAAACAACAACAATTTTATTAAGAATATTTTATTAAACTATATTTTATTAAACCAAATGAAATCCAAATTTTTATGAAATCCTTTTCTTAAAGCAAAAGTAAAGTGCATCCATCTCATAGTCGTGCAACATAGAGTGCAAGAAGCAAGTGTCCATCTCATAGTCCAAATCACTGAAATCAAAGTTCAGTATTATAGTGTAAGAATGACAACATATCCACGTGTTCTAGTCTACTAATAATACAATTATAATAAAAAACACTGTAAAAAAAAAACTTTTTTTTTATATATTTTTTTTTTTATAAAATCAATTAATTGGAGATGCTTTTGATTATTAAAATGTAATGGAACCATTAAAATGGAATCCAGAAAATAATGGAAAACAGAATTTGGTAAAGATAAAACTGTAAAACTCAATTAATTAGACAGGCTTTTTGATTAATAAAATTTAATTTAACCATTAAAACAGAGTATAGAAAAATGAAAATGGAAAAAACACTGTGTGACGCATGTACTTAACCTACACGCATGTAAATAATTAAATAGCATATACTGTATTAGAACTGCATTGCATATAATTATTTAATTAAATCGTAGCGTTTGTGAATTCACAATTATGCTTAATTATGATTTTTAAATGGGTTTAATATATCATGCAGCCTTGGGAAACAGTCTAATAATGTGTTTTATGGATTCTTGTCCGTGAAATGCGCCACTTCCAGTATTTTGCCGGTTAGTAGACGCGAGCAAAATGAAGTCGAGGATTTTAAAAAATCCAATAGTCGAATAAAATCGACGAATCGCGACAGCCCTAAAGCAAAGCACTTAACTGCAGGTTGCTGCAGGGAAACATGAGCTGTGATAAGTGCACTGTTAATCAGAGCTTCTGACATGATTTCTTCAGGATTTACATGATTAGGCAATATGTACAACCTGACACAACAATCCTAAATTTGTATAGTTTCACATACTCTGCAGCAGTGTTATTTCAGTCTTATTTATATTTTTATATTATTTAAGTTTTAGTCATTTTATTATGTGCTTTAGTCATTTTATCCTTTTTTTATTTATATTTCTGCACATCTTTAAATATTTTTTTTGTGAAATATGTTTTAGTCTTTTTAGTACCTAATTTATATTATTGAAGTTTTTGTAATTTTATTATGTGCTATAATCATTTTTATCCATTTATTTTAAATATTTTTATATTACTTTTTATTTTAGATTTAATTTTAGTACTTAAAGGGATAGTTCACCCAAAAATGAAAATTCTGTCATTAATTACTCACCCTCGTGTCGTTCCAAACCCGTAAGACCTTCGTTCATAATCAAAACACAAATTAAGATATTTCTGATGAATTCCGAGAGCTCTCTGACCCTCCACAGACAGCAAGGATACTACCACGATCAAGACCCAGAAACGTAGCAAGGACATCGTTAAAATAATCCATGTAACATCAGTGGTTCAACTGTAATTTTACGAAGCTACGAGAATACTTTTTGTGCACAAAGAAAACAAAAATAACGACTTTATTCAACAATTTGTCATCTCCGCGTCACCCTGTAGTGCCATTTTGGAGAGGATCACATACGTAAACAACGTATGTACGCGGATACGTTGTTTACACTCAGATCAAAGCGTAAACAGCGTAAACAACGTAAACAACGTATCCGCGTACATACATTGTTTACGTATGTGATCCTCTCCAAAATGGCACTATAGGGTGACGCGGAGACAACGAATTGTTGAATGAAGTCGTCATTTTTGTTTTCTTTGTGCACAAAAAGCACAAAAAGGCTTATTGGGAGAAAACTAGTTCTATGTGAAATCAGGCATTGAGCACCCCCATATAGCCAAAACGGCATGATCATAACACCTCTGCAAATATTCGACTGTGAGATTGGTATTCAAATCAGGCTCCTCCTATCGAATCTTCGATTATTCAGGGTCACCTCTAGTACTTAATTTAGATTTTTTTGTATTATTTATGTTTTAGTAATTTTATTATGTGCCATTATCATGTTTATACTTTTTCAAAAATATCTATATAGTTAATTTTAGTATTTATTTACTTCAAATTAAATCACATGAAATCAAAATGTATTTATAAAGCACTTTTAAAATCACAGAATGTCCCAAAGTGCTGTACAAAATAAGTAAATAAATAAATACATATTACAAATTAATTAATAATTTATTAAATAAATAATACACAATAATAGAAAAAAATTAATAAATATAATTTCAGTTAGTTGCCAAAGCAACATTCCTAATTTTTTCTGATTTTCATTAAATTCTTTCATCTGATATTTAGTTTTTATTTTATTCCAGCTTAATTTCAGTTATTTCTAATAGTTTTTAGTAAACAATAGCACCTCAAAATCTATTTTTGCACTGTACTGTGCTGACTTTATTGTATATACAGTTTGAGTTTAATCAGATGCATGTCGACAACAAAATATGCTGTAGCAAGAAGCATTTCTCCTTCATTTTTAAACAACTGACAAGCGCAATTAACTTCATACATGTACAGTTGCATTTTAGTGCATTTTTCTAATTTGCTGTGTAATGAGGTTAAAGGTAAAGATCCCACCATCTAACATCTGATGGAAAAACATCTTCAACAGAGGATGAACAAAGTCCAGGCGCTTACGAATACAGACACAGTGATGACCAGGATGAAATATGCACAGGTGTTTAGAAACAAGAAGACAACGAGCATGAGAGACCGGCATGTTATTCAAATCAAATTTGAATTTTTAATTAAAGAAATCCACATTTCAATGCTTAAGTCTACTATTTCTAGTTATCTAATGTAGCAAAACACACATTTTTTGTATTATAAATATTGTGGGCCATATAGAGAGATGAAAAGAGAGCCAAAAAATGAGAGAGAGAATGATGTGAATAAACAGACACATGCATGCACACATATACTCACAGACTTTGACATGTCTATTATTGTCTTGTTGTGTTTAAGACAGTAAACACACCTGGTGTGACTCGTCCCAGCCGTTCTCGTCTCTGACTCCCAGCCGTGCTCTGTAGTACAGCAGAGTTTCACAGCAGGACGTTTCGCCCCCTGTCAGCACCGAGTGGTACAGCGGCGTCAGTCCACAGCGGTCTGGATAATCTGGAGAAGCTCCCAAAGACAGCAGCGCCTGGGATCAAATGAAGAGTTATGCATGCTAAGATTTACAAAAACAAGCCGATTAAAGATGCACTAATCAATATTGTGCAGTTGTCACCATCAATTTAACCTGTAAATGAAATGGAGCCAAATGGTGTTTAAAGACACAGCTCACCCAAAAATAAAAGTTTGTTGGCAATTTACTCATCCTAAATGAGTTTGTTTCTTCATGGAAACAGATTTGGAGAAATTTAGCATTTGCTCAGCAATGGATGCTCTGCAGTGAATGGGTGCCGTCAGAATCAGAGTCCAAACAGCTGATAAAAACATCACAATAATCCACACCACTCCAGTCCATCAGTTAACATCTTGTGAAGCCAAAAGCTGCGTGTTTGTAAGAAACAAATCCATCGTTAAGACGTTTTTAACTATTGCTTCTGGCCAAAATATAAGTCCATAATCCATAATAAC